AAATAGAAATAGGAAACTACAATTAGAAATAAATATTTTTTATAGCATAAGCATATTAAGGGAGGCACAGATAATTATGTTAAACTTACAAACTAAAAACGAACACAAATAAATTATTTAAAAAAAAAAAAAAGTTACCCTAATTTATTAATTTAATTTTATTATTATTATTATTATTAATGTATTAATTAAATTAATTATTTTAATAATTTTCCATCAATCCTAATAAATATTTTTAATTGTAGAAGTATTTACTTGATTAACTGTTTTTTTGTTTTTTTTAATAATGTGCCAAAATGTCTTTTTGTTAACATAATGTGCAGGTCGAATGAGCGGTTAGCGGAGGCCAACACTAAACTCCTGAGCGAGAGGCAGCGCAGCAAATCTCTGCTCACCAGCAGTATAGTGAACGGCGGTTTAGGGGGCCCCGCTCTGGATGTGGCATCTCTGGGCTCCGTGGGGGCATACGGAGCCTCTCTGGGACCCCTGAACAGGAGCCTGGGCCTCGGGACGCCTCTGCTGGGTACGGTAGGGGAATCGCAGAGCAGCCGCGTAGAGGCCTACCTGGCAAAGGTGAGCGATGGTGCATGAAGTCATTTCACTCTCATGTAGACTGTGAACAGGTTTCCAAATGCTGCACCACACTGCCTCAACATTCAACACTAACCATGTTCTAATACTTACACCCAAAATAAATCCCATGTCCGGTGGTGATTCTAAAACTAACAAACGATTATATATTTTCTCCTTCCACTATCTTTCCCTTCATAAACGTAGCAAATAACCTTCTGGTCTGTTTTTCCTGTGGCTACTGTCTGGACTCATATCCTCTTCTGTCTCTGATATCTTCAGCTTCTAGCTCAAAAGTCTGTTTCTCACCTGTCCTCTCTGCAGCCTGATACCTGAATTTATAAAATAAAAAATAAATAGAAATAGGAAACTACAATTAGAAATAAATATTTTTTATAGCATAAGCATATTAAGGGAGGCACAGATAATTATGTTAAACTTACAAACTAAAAACGAACACAAATAAAGTGGCTACTGTCTGGACTCATATCCTCTTCTGTCTCTGATATCTTCAGCTTCTAGCTCAAAAGTCTGTTTCTCACCTGTCCTCTCTGCAGCCTGATACCTGAGCAGGTGTGTAGCTGATGTGTGCAGATCTCTGACTGTCAGAACACACACACACACACACACACACCTGCTTTAATGTGTCTCTGTGGCTTCACACAGCTGTTTATGGGAGAAAACGTTGAGTCACAAATCATGTTGAATAGATATTTTATTAATTCTGAGCAAGATTTTAATTAGATCAAAGCTTAATTGTAGACTTACACTGGGTATAGGGATGTTACTTTGCACTGAGTAAATACAGCTGGATAAAACAAAAACTGTCCGTCTTCATTTCAGGCTGCAAAGCAACAAAATGTGATTATTTTAAAGGGGGTGATTCTTTTCTATACCCACTGTATCTGTGCATTACAGCTTCTAGTACACTGTCATTTTATAAAAAACATTTGGGAAAAAAAGGCATCTTTGTTCAGAATTAGTTATTTAGTATCATTCATGTACTTTTATAGTATTTATTAATATTTTGAATTCACTTTTATTTTTATATTTATTAGATCAAAGCTTAATTGTAGACTTACACTGGGTATAGGGATGTTACTTTGCACTGAGTAAATACAGCTGGATAAAACAAAAACTGTCCGTCTTCATTTCAGGCTGCAAAGCAACAAAATGTGATTATTTTAAAGGGGAGTAATTATTTTCTATACCCACTGTATCTGTGCATTACAGCTTCTAGTACACTGTTGTTTTATAAAAAACATTTTGAAAAAAAAGGCATCTTTGTTCAGAATTAGTTATTTAGTATCATTCATGTACTTTTATAGTATTTATTAATATTTTGAATTCACTTTTATTTTTATATTTTCAGTTTTCATTTCAATTTTAGTTTAAATTTTGTAATTTTGTTACATGCTTTTTTCATTTTTATTTATTTTATTTTTTTATATTTCTATGTAGTTTAAATAGTTTTTCAGGTTTTGTTTGAATAATTATATATGCAGTATATTTAGTTTTAATAGTTGTAATAGTTTAGTAGATTATTTTAGTTTTAATTAAGTTTTAAGCTAAAGTTTTTTAATCATATATATTACACTGTCATTTTATAAAAAACATTTGGGAAAAAAAGGCATCTTTGTTCAGAATTAGTTATTTAGTATCATTCATGTACTTTTATAGTATTTATTAATATTTTGAATTAACTTTTATTTTTATATTTTCAGTTTTCATTTCAATTTTAGTTTAAATTTTGTAATTTTGTTACATGCTTTTTTCATTTTTTACATTTTTTAAAAATTTCTATGTAGTTTAAATAGTTTTTCAGGTTTTGTTTGAATAATTATATATGCATTATATTTAGTTTTAATAGTTGTAATAGTTTAGTAGATTATTTTAGTTTTAATTAAGTTTTAAGCTAAAGTTTTTTAATCATATATATATATATACTTTTCTAAAAATGGCATGTATTAAGTATGCAGTATACAACATTAAAAACATTGTTTTATGCTACATTGTTGTATAGTAGTTACCTTATTCAGTTTAATTCAGAAATCAGCTTTTAGTTGTAGGAAATAAACAAATCATTTTACATTTTAATTATTTTGTGTAAAAATATTAACTTTTGGGAGTTGGATCAGAGACAGTTCAATCATCACACTGGAAATGGCAGTCAAGCGCATTGCATTGTGGGATACAGTACTGAGTGCAGTGTGCTCTGGATGTTAACTGCACATTTTGACAAATGTTGTAGGTCATCTGGGTATTTAAAGGATACAGAAAATTGACATACTGTGTACAGCATACATAATACTGAAGTAGCATGAGTACCTGAACATTTATATTTAAACGGGATCTACTATTTATGATCAAATGTGTGATTTAATATGTTTTGCTATTCTCAGGTCAGTAACTATTAGTCCAATTTTGAAGCTCTTTTTTGATCCTTTTTGGGATCATTTCTCATACTAATATACATGTGTAATTGATTCAGTTCAGCATCAGATCTGCTGTTTTTTTTAATGCCCCTGATATTCACAACAGTCTTTATTTAATATTATACTAATCAAATTTATTATAATTATATCACTAGCCGGGGTTACCTTACAGCCGTTTGTTCAGGCATAAAATCATTAAAAGAATATCAGGTCATGTGACACTGAAGACTGGAGTAATGGCTGCTGAAAATTCAGCTTTAACATCACAGGAATAAATTACACTTTAAAATATATTCAAATGGAAAACAGCTATTTTAAATAGTAAAAATATTTTAAATTTTTTCTGTTTTTACTGTATTTTTTAATCAAATAAATGCAGCCTTAAAACCCAACGTTTTGAATGGTAGCAGATACTTTTACTAGCGTTTGGATTTTGACCAATCAGATGTGTCAAAACCATGATGTGTCTGCATAGTTATGGCTATGCATTTTTATAGTATGAATACTGTGGCAATGTAAACTAAACAATAACCTGGCTGAGTGCTAGTTTTAGGACGTGTGTTTGATGAGATGAAGTCAGATGTGTGATCTGGTTTGTCTGTTCCTGTTGCAGATGCAGACGGAGCTGGAGAAGAACATATCGAAGGAGCTGGACTACGGTGAGACATTATTATAACAAAATGTTTATATGTATTTTATGTAAATAGTCTGTTATACTGTTATTAAGATCTCACTAATTTAGATTACAAGGTATGAGAATTTAATTCTTTTGGTTTGGCCATTTAAATATCAGCAACGGCACCAAATTGCATATTTTTGCTCAGTTTGGGCCTCTGAATAATATTGAGATGTTTTTCCTCCTTGAGTATGAACTCCATATTCTCCTATATTATAGTATATGAGCCACAAAAGCCAGGTATAAAATACGAACAAAACACATGCAAACTTTAAGTTTTTTGTTTTTTTTTGTCTAAAGGTTCTATGAACTCTTTAATTTTCAGTCTATACTTTCAAATGTCAGACTTTATGGCGTTAATATGATCTTTAAGTGACCGGTTGGATCTCCACTCAAGTCCATTCAAAAATGTATTCTGTATTAATTCGATTGCGCTCAAAAGTGACTTAATTGTCATTCTCGTGTCATTCTGGAAGGAGGAACTGCCCGCATGTCCCCCGTAGGATCGGCCTCTGGATCTCAGAACCTGAACGTGACCCTGGAGCAGCCGGACCCCGTGAGCAGAGCCACTCAACAGTACCTGGAGGTGCTGAAGAAGAACTACATGATCTGACCCGCCCGCGGTCAGTCCACACACTGTGAACACAATCAACTCGAGCGCCATAACCCACTCGAGAAACACTGATGAACCGCCCTAAAAGCCCTATGGATTTATAAAACAGGAGTTTGTTTACTAAAGCAGTTATGGTGCCTCTTTGTGGTCATTAATGGAACTGGTCCTGTTCTCCCAAAAATTTGCTGGCCATCTAAAGATGAGTTTGTTTCTTCATCAAATCAACAGATTTGGAGAAATGTAGCATTGCATCACTTGCTCACCAATGGATCCTCTGCAGTGAATGGGTGCCGTCAGAATGAGATTGTGATGTTTTTATCAGCTGTTTGGACTCTCATTCTGACGGCACCCATTCACTGCAAAGGATCCATTGGTGAGCAAGTGATGCAATGCTACATTTCTCCAAATCTGATGAAGAAACAAACTCATCTACATCTTGGATGGCCTGACGATAAGTTTATTTTCAGTACATTTTCATTTTGGGGTGAATTATTCCGTTGATGGCCAAGTCTATCTGAACATGTTCTTCAGAGTTTGTTTAACATATTGTAAGGCTCATTATCAAAGTAGAATATATTCATACTTGTAAAATCCCAGTCACCAGACTGATTCCTGCCGGTCAGGAATCATGCAGCCTTGAGATAAGTCATAAAAATGAGACATAAAAACAAACTCTGCGGAGACTGAAAGGAGCCCGTCTGTCTGGACTTGTGTATTAGTGCTGCAAAAACAACACAACCATTAAGGGCCAAAGTTTCAACACTACAATCAGTTTGTGATATTTAATCGAGTGTGACAATGCACTTTTGTGCCTCAGGAGCAAATGAACTGTGTGTTTAGGTCGTTCTGTCATTGGTGAAGCCTGAGGTTTGGAGGTACGTGTGAAGTGCAGCTTTCAGTGTTGCGGCCTCATTGCGAAGACTTGTTGTTTTTGTCATATGTGGGTTTTAGTTTATATGTATGTATATATTTTGGCTGTTTTAATAGTCGAGGCATATTATAAAGAGTGTCACATTTGTACCGTTAATATTATTGCCAAGTAATGAAAATGGTACATTCTTGACTATCGTGCAATATACTCAACGTATTTTAATTTCAAATGACCAAACTCTCATTTGGAGATGTTTTTGGAAAATGAATGCTATACTTGAATGAGACACAACTAGATAATGACCTGGTGATTTTCTAGAGTATGTGACAGTGTCACCGCTTCGCTGTGCTCAGGATGAATCTTTTCGTGTGTATGAGTGAATCTCATGAATTGTGCCAGGTCATATTTCAGATGTTGCATAAATTATATTTTGCATAATGTTAATAACATTTAAATTTTTTTTTGCATTGTGATATTTTCTTGACAGTTAAGCACATTTTACCCCCAAATTCTCATTACTGTAATGAAAAAATTATTAAAGTGTATGTGTATATATATATATATATATATTAAAAAACAAATCAAATTAAATAAAACAGACACTACAATGTACAAATGTAAATTTGAATAATATATATACATGTATGTGTGTAAAAAGATATAGAAACAAATATGTAACCAAATTTGCTTTATTGTTAATTACAAAAACTGCTTAACTTTAATTTGCATAGTCAATAAAACAATGTTTTTTGCATTGTGAGATTTTCATTTAAACAGACAATTAAACCGATTTTACCCCCAAATTCGCATTGCTGGAATAATTAATTTTTTATTAAAATACAAATTAAATAATTCAGTAGAACAGACACTACCATGCATGTACAATTATACTATATGTCTGTGTGTTTTTATAAAAATATAAATATATTAAAAAAAATATATATATATATATATACACACACACACATTTTTGGTGTATTAATGACAATTGGAGGGGAAAATGTGCTCAATTGTTAATTGTGCAAAAAAAGTCTTAAAAATAGTCGTTTTCATTATGCAAAATTTTTATAAATTTTTTTTTTGTGGTGAAATATGACATGAGCTAGTTTTTAATAGTTTTCATCAGTATGTTTTAGTTTTTGTCGACTGAAATATCCATTGTCTCTTCCAAGCATTTCAGTCTTGTTTTTGTCTTGAAATGTTTTAGATGTTTACATTGAGATGTTTCGTAGCTACAGAATGAACATGGGCCTTGTTGTGTTTGTTATTGTCTCAAAAATGGTGAATCACTTTCATTATGAATATAAAAATCAACCTTTATTTATCTTGCAACATTTTTATAATTTTTTTTTTTTGTGGTGAAATATGACATGAGCGTGTTTTTAATAGTTTTCATCAGATTCATCAGTATGTTTTAGTTTTTGTCGACTGGAATATCCATTGTCTCTTCCAAGCATTTCAGTCTTGTTTTTGTCTTGAAATGTTTTAGATGTTTACATTGAGATGTTTCGTAGCTACAGAATGAACATGGGCCTTGTTGTGTTTGTTATTGTCTCAAAAATGGTGAATCACTTTCATTATGAATATAAAAATCAACCTTTATTTATCTAATATAGGAAATTCAGCAGCACGAATAAACACTCAGTTCTGTGACATCCGGCTTTCTTCTGAATCAGTCAGTCAGTGATGCGTCTCAGAATTTCTTCATTCTCCAAATCACAAAACCCAAAGAAATGGATGGATATGTGACTGTAAGGAACACAGTGTGAGGCCTGAGCTGTGAGAGGTCATCTTCTGAATCCTCCTGATGAGTCTTCAGCAGAACCTCAGGTCGTTCTCCAGTTTGTAGATTTTAGCCCTCAGGTTCTTCAGCTCACTCTGGACCTTCACTGTGCGACTGTTGGTCTGTCGAACCTCATGGAGAATCGCCAGGTCTTGATCAGGGCCCACGTTGAGTGTCAACTAGTGAAAGACACAGCCATCAAAATCTGCATCATTATTGATGCTAATTTAAACAGTTGTTTGTCTGCCGATTTCAGATAGATTCATATCAGACAATTTAGTGATTGTGTGAAGCTGAAAACCTCAAGGAGACACAAACGCTATATATTCTTAAAGAAGACATAAATGAGAGAAATGACTGACTTTAAAGAGATATTTCTCCACGTCTTTGACTTTCTGCCGCAGGTGTTTGATGTCGGTCTTGAATCCCTCCACCTCCATGGCGCGTCTTTTCTCCAGAGCTTCATAACGTTGAGTCATCAGCTGCAGACGTTTGGCCATCTTATCAGAGCGCTCCTAAAAACACACATGCACAAAAATCAGATGCTAGTTTGACACTAAAGCAACCGCAACACTTCAGTAAAATATCAAAATATTTTCATGTCAAAAGCATCTCACCCTCATGTGCTTCAAAATATCACTTTTAGTTTTTTAATGAACATACAAGGAGATATTTAACACGTTTCATCTCGAGGAAATTCAGCTAAAAGTACATAATAATTTCTTTGTTTGTTTGCATACTTTGAAGATCTCTCGGCCCACGTCACCTTCCTCTCTGATCTGGGACAGGTCCGTCTCCAGATTGACACACTGCTCTCGGTACATGTCAGCCAGTTTATGAGCCTGTTTCAGTTCCTCCTGCAAAGCCTGCTAGGAAAAAAAAAGAAGACAAAACTCCTTGTGAGACCTGGATAAAGTCTTGTTTTAAAAGATGAAGGAGAATGTGATTCCTCCCTATAAAACGGTTTTCAATCAAAACATACTTATCCTGCACAAAATTACTATAAAATGTAAAATTATGTCATTTATATGTACAATTTATATGCATACCTATACATTATAAATATAATAGATAACAAATATATAAAAGTTATATATCAAAATCTTTTATGTGAAATATCTTATTCAGGTCAGTACTAAAGAAAAAATAACATGCATTTTACTGCAAGGTGTATGTAAACTTTTGACCACGACTGTATGTATATATATATATAATTATTATTATATATAATTAAACAATTATATGTGACCCTGGACCACAAAACCATGAATATCTGGAATCTGAGGGTGCAAAAAAAAAATCTAAATATTGCGAAAATCGCCTTTAAAGTAGTCCAAATGAAGTTCTTAGCAATGTATATTACTAATCAAAAATTAAGTTTTTATATATTTACGGTAGGAAATTTACAAAATATCTTCATGGAACATGATCTTTACTTAATATCCTAATGATTTTTGGCATAAAAGAAAAATCGATAATTTTGACCCATACAATGTATTTTTGGCTATTGCTACAAATATACCCCAGCGACTTAAGACTGCTTTTGTGCTCCAGGGTCACATATATTATTCTATTAAAATTGTATAAAATTATATATTATACATTTATATTTTTATTATTATCATCATATTTGGGGGTCCTTGGCATTAAAAAGCTCTGCCTTGGCTATTCCAGGCATTTGTGCCATTTCAAAAACATAAGTTATTTAAAACAAGAAGGAAATCAGAGCTGACACACATCAGCGGTCTGACCCTGGTCTCCTCGCGGTGTGTCTGGCTGCTCTCGTGTTTGGGCTGCATGATGAACAGAGCGTCTGCGCACGCAGGAGGAGGCTGATCATTGTGCATTTATATTTTATATAATATTTTTATTACCAAATATTCATACAAAATTTATATTATTTTATATATATATATATATGTTTAAAAATATTCATAATATTTATACAGATATTTAATTTTTTTATTTATATAATTTTTTGTGCTGGATAAAACATGTTTTAATTCAATATGTATTTGCAAATAAATTTTGTGTTAAGCATTAAAATACATTTAATAAAGTTAATTGTTAATACATTTATTAATATAAACACGTTCAAAAGATTAAGGTCAGTAAGATTTTTTTAATGAAATTATTAATTCTAATCAACAAGGATGCATTAAATTGATCAGAAGTGACAGTAAAGTCATTTATAATGTTACAAAAGATTTATATTTCAAATAAATGCTGTTCTTTTCAACCTTCTATTCATCAAAGAATCCTGAACAAAACGAATGTATCACAGTTTCCACAAAAGTATCAAGCTTTATAATATTAATAATAAAATGTAATATTAAACTGTTTTCAACATTGATAATAATCAGAAATGTTTCTTGAGCAGCAAATCAGCATATTAGAATGATTTCTGAAGATCATGTGACACTGAAGACTGGAGTAATGATGCTGAAAATACAGCTTTGCATCACAGAAATAAATTATACTTTACAATATAATCACATAGAAAACAGTTCTTTTAAATTATAATAATATTTCACAATTTTACTGATTTTACTGCAATTTTGATCAAATAAATGCAGCCTTGTTGACCGTGAGAGAGACACACACACACCTGCAGCAGTAATGTCTGGTTGTCTCTCTTGTACTGCTCTGAACTTGTAGCATCTTCTCCGTCTTTGGACGATTTCTTGCTTCCTGTCGTTTGAAACAACACATGCTGTTAAAACACAGACAAGATAACTCCATCTCAAAATAACATCAAGATATCAATCCACCCATAAAACTGCAACAATTTAGTCAAACCTTTCGCTGACACAGGCCTCGGTTTCACCACCTTTGATTCCTCATGTGATCTCAGCTGGACCTTCTTTTGAGGGATTGTGACCTAAAAACCATATTGTTGCAAACCAAAATAAAGCATAATACTTCACAAATGGCCACATGATATCAAGATGAGCTAGATTTGTATTGTTTTGAACCTTGTGTGGAGGCTCGCGGTGGAAATACGTGATCTCGCCTGGATCTGGACCTACAAGTGCTAGAAGATGCTGGATCTTTTTCCGGTCCTCCAGCTCTCTGTGACAGTAAAGACACTTCAGCCTCAGATATGATGTTTGTGCTCTGGTGTCCGTGATGAGGAGACATCTGACCTGATTTTGAGGCGGTCGTTCTCGGCGTACAGTCGCAGCGCCTGCTCTCGCTCCTGGAACAGATATACCTGCATATCACTGAGAGCGTTCTGGAGCTCTGCGATCTCCTCCTCGCGCTGACGCACCTCCCACTGCAACTTGTGCTGCACGAACACACACCGCATTATATGCACACGCAAAAACTAATAACAGAAGCACAAACTAATTATAGAACATCCATGAAGAGCGGAGAGAGCAGAAACATCATCCAGGTGAATGGAGGTCACCTGCTCCTCCGCGGTGCTCCTGTACTTCTCCAGCATCTGCAGCAGGTCATCATGTTCTCCATCAAACTGCGCCACCTTCTGCCTGTAGAAGTCCAGCAGCTCGCGGGACGGCCGCAGGTACGCCAGACGCTCGGAGACGGAGGGCAGCGGAGACTCGCGCTGCGGGCTGAGCTCAGGACTGACACGAACACAGAGAACGAGGAAGAGACACTTAAAAGCGTGGCATTTGGGATTTCAGACATGCTCGGTTCATGCATATGGTACCCAATGGTATAAAATAGTGTTATTAATATTGCAAATAATAAATAAATATTCATGAAAATAATTTTTTTTTAAATCTTCAAAAAAATTAGAAAAAATAAATAAAAAAATTTATATATATATATTTATTTTTTTAATAATACTAATTTTTTCAATTCATTTTAACCCCCGGAATTCTCATTATCATAATCCAACCAGATGTTTAACTTATGAAATTATTTTAAAATTCCCATTATTCTTGATGACTTTAATTACATTCTCACATATAATGCAGTATTTTGTAATACAATGGTTAAATTAAAGGCACAAAAACTAAAACCAATATGCAAAATGTATAGATCATTCATTTGAGAAAGATTTTTGCCTTATGGTAATGAGATAATAAGACTACCAGTGGAAAATATGCTTAATAAGCATGGATATATATATATATACAGTGGGTACGGAAAGTATTCAGACCCTTGTAATGTTTTTGAAAGAAGTCTCTTGTGCTCATCAAGGCTACATTTATTTGATCAGAAATACAGAAAAAAACAGTAATATTGTGAAATATTAATTTAAAATAACGGTTTTCTATTTTAATATACTTTAAAATATAATTTGACATATATGGGATATTCTAAATATAAATGATATTTACCTTTTATGCTCTTTTGTAGGAGGAGAATCCATCATCACAGTGTATGGCCTAAAACTTAAAAAAGACTTTAAAGTGATGCACTCAAAATACATTAAAAAAATATATATTAAAATTAATTATTTTATTTATATCTTATTCTAAGGTAAATTTATCTCAATATAATGAGCTGTAGGTGATCTAACTTTACTCTAAAATTAAGGTAAATTAAAAACAACATGCAATATATCAATATTCATAAAAATAGCCCAAAGGAAAGCTCTTTTGTTGACACACGTTACCGGTGTGATCAGTTACGGTTGTCATGTAAACAACCGCTTTACGGAGGGAAATTTGAACGAACAAAGCGTTATACAGGTTTATTTAGACCAAGAATCTGTTTACAGCCTAAATGATCACTTTAGTCACTTTATTTATTCATCAAACTGTCAGGTGTGCAGTAAATATTAATGTTTATGTTATAGTTACCTTCTGCCTGCGTGCTCGCTTTTAAAACACGCCGGTTAGAAACCGGAAGTCTCTGTGTTTATTGGAGCGCGTTCTCACTGCGTCGCGTTTGCGCAGCACCAACGCAGCCTTGCGTCAGTTTCCAGCAGCAGGCGCCTGTCGGTTCTGCACTATTGCCTGCTGACACACACCGCTCTGGGATTGATTTAGATAAGAGCCACACACGGACCTCCTACGTGGCCTTTAGAGCTAGAAAAACATGTTTGCCAGCTGCTGATAGCATGTGAGCTAATGGTTAGCAGCGCAGGAGGAGTCATGCTCGGGTCAAAGTAGAAACACTGTCTCGTTTCTTCTTGTATTTCGTGGGAAAACATGGCAGAGATGTTTCCCCGCTTGAGTATGTTTAGAATCGGATGGAGAGGAGTGAGATTGAGCAGGAAAGTCACTAATGCAGCTGCTTCTGCGCAGACGCAGCGCCGCTACAGCACAGTGAGTTCACGCTCATTATTATTATTCATAATTCAGCCTTCAGTAATAATAATAATGAGCCGTCAAACACCAAAACGAGTGGTGTTATGGGCAAACAGGCTTGTGTTGTGGTTCTGTTTTCATAAGTTTCGGGTCAAAATCTGGCTGTGTATCTAGACAGCATTTTCGGTCCAAAAATGAACATATTATATTATAATCAAGTGTATATTAGGTTATATAATATTATAAATATTTATATATATATTATATGGCTATTTATATACTTTTCTTTTCTAAAATATAAAAATTAAATAGTGTGTGCGTGTGTATAATTGTATTATTATATATATAAAATTAATAATATTATTAATTTTCTTATTTTAGATGTAATATTTTATATC